AAATAGGAATTAGAGATAATTTAGAAGAGAAACTCTCTGCTAAATTAGAGATAATTTTGGAGATAAATAGGAATTAGAGATAATTTAGAAGATAAATAGGAVTTARAGATAATTTTRGARAAAGTGGGGGAGGTAKTTTAGGAGAAATTTTAGGAGAAGAGATTATTTAGGTTATGGGAAAGTGCATATCATTGGTTGTTTAATCTAATCAAGATAAGCAATGATTACTGTTTTATATTTTTAAAACAAAAGAGTATAGGAAAAAATACAAAAAATGGATAAAATAGATAAATATCTTCTCTCAAAGGAGAGATATGCTGACATGGATGGACCAATTTTAATATATATATATATATATAGGGACAGAGTGAAAGATACGGTCGGCTCCCCTCTTCCTCCCTTTTCTTCCATTCTTTTCTTCCTCCTTCTGAATCTCTTCTTCTTCCTTCCTTTTCCCTTTTCTTTTAGTTTGATTTTAGGTTTATTACTGATGTGATTCACAACTCACCCAGACAATGCCTCTTTTAAAAGGTGCAACTTTTTATAATTTTGCTTTTTTGATTTCTTTTTATACATTCTTGTGTGTTCCACACATTTTTTAATAATTTATTGACTTCTAAGTTACCTTTTATTGGTGCTTATGCATTAGTAATGGCCCGTTAACTTAAAAAACAAAGAAAAACAATGACTTATTGAATACTTGAACCCCTACTTGTTGTGGATCTTATCTTAACATAATTTCCACTAAAGAAGTAACAATAATACTACTGGTCCCCTAAACCCCCATGCAAGCTTGTTTGTGATTGCCTCAAGGGGCTTTCAGCTCCAACCTTCATAAAGTTTCCAACCTCGTAGAATATGGAATGCAAGACACCTAACATCACACTAGCTACTTGAAGTAATGCATTTAGGAGATAAGCAAACATGTTTGAGAGTTTTACATGTTTGAATTTATTTGATATGATTTGCTTTTGTATCTGATTTGAGCTAATATTCTTTTAAAACATATAATTTCTTTTTAAATTCAAGTTTCTATATTATATGTTAATGTTTTTCTTTTTCAAAAAATTGTGCCCTGATTCATTCGAGTATGTGCCTTGCCTTGCACCTTGTACACCAGGCACTAGAAGGCCCTTGCACTTTTCTTGCACCTTTCACTTCTAAAGCACTTGGAAAACTCCAGATCCAAATATGATTCAGATGTGGGGACAAATTACAGTAGCAACTGGCAGTGCATGATACACCTATTCATGGTTTTCAAGGCGCCAAGGCAAGGTTAGGTGACAGGGGGGCGCCTTGTTGCCTAGTCGCCTAGGCGGGCACCTAAGCGTCGCCTAGGCGAAGGATTTTTTTATGTTGAAAACATAGATCCTAGGGTAGTTCCCTAGGTACCATAACCATATTTCCTCAATAATTATTCATAGTTTTCATAAGAAAAGTATAAAGTTCATATTAAAGTATAGAAAATCAACATATTCATGAGAAGAAAAAGAAGGAAAATAAAATTAAAAAAATATAGGGGATGAACCCTTATTTTTGTTATAGGAAAAGAAGAAAAGAAAAAGTAATAGTAGTAGTAGTAGTAGACATGGGTGTTGGTATGGGTATAAGTAAATTTCAAACATGTTTAGATATTTTTATAGTATAGTTTGTTAAAACATACGACTTTAATATTTTAGAAGTGACAGGCTAGAGAGTACATCAAGAAGTATCGATGTAGTATCCAGTATCGTGTACAATACTGGTACTAAGGCATGTACATGTATTCTGATATCATAGGTTCTAAGGAACTATTAGACTGCAAGTCCAATCAATGTTATTATAAGAATCAGTTTATATACCTCTACCCACACAATTCCATAGCAAACATCAAATTCAAGCCACGAACAAAGCTGGAAGTTCAGTAATACAGTTCCCATAGCCATTGTGACTTGAGTGTACAATAACTTTACCATCATATCTCCTGAAACTCCCCTAAAATCAGATATGCCTGGATTGCCAATTGAACAGATATTAGAATTTAGTTATACCACTTCAAGGAGGGGTGGAAGAGTGGGCCAAAACTAGCCTTGGGACTGAAGGCATTTGGGGTAATCCTATCCCTCTGAGGCTGGAAGCCTTTGCATGGTTAGTTGCAATGGATAGTATTCTGACTGCTGTCCATTTGAAGAAAGAGGTTTCAGCATGGCCAACATGTGCTATACATGTTATGCAGAGAAGTATGGAAGCCATTTGAAGAAAGAGGTTTCAGCATGGCCAACATGTGCTATACGTGTTACGCAGAGAAGTATGGAAGCCATTTGTTAATCTCATGTAGGGTGGCTGATTTCATATGGCACTTCTTTTCATCACTTTTGGTGTGGGATCTTGCAGCCAAGGAGTCCAGGAGAGAGATTCTCTAGATGTCTGAAGCTGCAAGGAGGCAAGAAAGCTAAATTATTTTGGAGTTGTATCCCTTATGCAGTATTTTGGGGAATATGGAAGGAAAACAGAAGATTGTTTGGAGACAAGGGAAGGAAGGTAGAAAGAATGGTGGTTGATATTTGTAAATTGATTGTAGATTGGTTGTCTAATCTGCTGATATTGCCAGATTTTGCTCATGTTTCTAGGTCAGAATTTGGGGAGAGATTCTGAGATTTACTAGATATAAATTAATTTTAATTTTGCTTTTAAAAAAGAAAAGGATGACACCATTGCTTTTAGAAGTGTTGCTGGTCAAAATCTATGTACTCTCAGGACAAACCACAGGGAATTGGTAATAAATGGCTACATCTATGATATGTTGTGACCTTTATCATGTTTATGCACCATAACATTATGGATTTTTGACTTCTGTTGGTGACTAGCATGTTTATACAAATTTATGTAAATTATTCATAGATCTAGTTTGCATAAATTCCATAATAGGATGCAATCATAATTATGTTTACTATAGGTTTATTGGGAGAAAGAAATGCCATGGTTTCCAAAACTGCATTGCGCATCATAGCTAGCATGAAACGAGATTGGATGCAGGTGTGGTTTTCTTTTCCCTATTTATATGAAAGGTGATTCTTTTCTTTATTTTCTTTCTATTGGTTGCTAGGGATGGGTTTGGGGATGGTTTTATATCAACGTTGGCTTGATTCATAGTCAGCAAGGACACATTTTATAGTATGACTAATTAACCATTTACAGACAGGGAGAAAACCCAGTGGGTTATGTGGTGCAGCATTGTATATATCAGCACTTTCTCATGGCCTCAAATACTCAAAGTCAGATATTGTAAGTCAAGCTCCTGGAATTTATTAATTTTCAACTTTTTAAGTTTATATATATTGGTAGGTTTGAAAGGCCATGCTTAAATTCTCACCATGAGACAGCTAATGAGTTTAAGAATGAGAATTAGAAGCATTCAATTGTACTAAACATTATAGACAGATGATCAGGAAAAGAGAACAAGTATTGCAGAGAGACAGCAGAGAATATGATTCTGTTGAATCTATCAGAAGGCTTAGGTGCTTTTTGGCAAGTCTTTTAGAAAGTTCTACCAGCAGCTCAGATGACTGAAAGACGTGGCCCCGTTTGGCATGTCTTTCCGCACGGTCTGTCAGCTATTTAGAAGCCTGGCAGACCGCGTTGTGGTCTTTTTCCGTTTGGTTCACAGGAGATCTAGCCGCCAAAAGACATTGCGCTGAAAAGACGCGTGAAGCCCGTTTTGGGCTATTTTCGAGAAGCTCCAAATGGAGCTTTTCGTTTTTTCAACTCGTCTTTGCGTGGAAAGACACGCGGAGCGACACGCCTTAACCAAACAGTCTTCAGGCTGTCAAGATCTTGATGCAAAAGCTCACTACTCTTTCGACCATCGGAGCTTTTAGAAGATCTTTCAAAAAAGACTTGCCAAATGGCCCTGTATTGAGCTTTTGGGGTCTTGTCTTTAAAGACAAAGACTGTTTGGCAAGTTGGCTCAGTCTACCGGGCTTTTAATAATGTGTTTAGAGGCTATTTATCATGCGGAAAGACAAGAAAGCTTTATCTTCCTGAAATTCGGTGTTTTTGGGTCTTTCCTTGCACGCGTCTTCTGGTCTTACCAGCTTTTCCTTGCAAGCGGAAAAAGACCGATTTTTAGTCTTGCGAGCTTGCTGTAGCCAAGAAGACTGTGTGGAAAGACTTGCCAAATGCCGCCTTAGTCATTGCCGTGTTAAAAGGATCAGAGAATCTAGAAGGTCAATAGAACAGGCATTCTTTAATAAAATCCTACAAATCAATGATTTGGGAGCAGCAGCTTAGGCAACTTGGGTCCATCAGGCCTAATTGAGGAAGGGAACTCTCTAAGAGCTGAGATTCTTGCTCTCCATCAGGCCTAATTGAGGAAGGGAACTCTCTAAGAGCTGAGATTCTTGCCCTTCATCAGGCCTAATTTTTCAATGGGTTGAGCCAATCTGATTGCGGAAGGAGACTGTAAAGTGGTCATCAATTGGATGGAGACATAGTTGTCAAGACACCCATGGAGGGTTGCCTCTGTTGACTGCAGAGATTTTTTGTATATGGAACTATGAAATGTTTTGTATATTCTTTATTTTTGATTATTCATTTTGTGGGTTTATACACTACTTTCTTCCTATTATTTTCTTATTTGTTAGAGTTCAATCAACATATTGGTATATGATGCCTTGAACCCTCAAGAACTTCAAAACCTAACCGAAGAGCAAGGAAGAACTGAAAATATTGTCCAATCAACAAATTCTTACTCTTCTTCCATCCTTTTGTATTTTCTTTTCCTAGGACAACAAAAATAGGGACTCAATACCTATATGTTTTGAAATTTATTTTCTTTCTTCTTCTTCTTATGAATATGATGATTTTCTAGGTTCAATACAAAGTTCATTCTTTTTTTATGAAGGTTATAGATAATTACAAATGAAGGATGTTTTCTGGTTGCTATGTAACCTAGGGAATTACTCCAGGATTCATGATTTTTATTTTAAAAAAATCCATTGCCTAGTCAACTAGGCAATGGGGTGCCCCTTGTTACCTAGCCTTGCCTTGGTGCCTTGAAAACTATGGGTGGAAAAGAAGATAGAAGGCTCTTGGGTACTAAAACAATTTGTCACATGAGCTATGTTGTTGCCATCTTAACTTGAACAACTTAATCACATGGATCTTGGGCACTAAAACAATTTGTCAGATAAGCTATGTTGTTGCCATCTAACTTGAACCGCTCATTCACATAGATGCCCAGATCATCTAATACAGTGGCAGATGTGCTTGCAAGAGACAGAGTCACTAGGGATGTCCAGGTATCAATGTAAATTATGAAGTAAGAAATATTACTGTTTGTTTCACAACCTTGGGGTTTGTATCTTTCCTTCTTATCTCCTTTTCAGGATTTGATGGGTAGTAGAAATCAAACCTATGCCTCTTCTTTATTATCCCAGTTCATTGGTCCTATATCAACAACCATCATGAGAAAAAGAAACAATATTATAATCCTCAACTAATTGACCAACAGAAATCAAATTTGTTGTAAGTTTAGGAACAAAGTGGGTTTTAAGAAGGTGTTGAGAAGTAGCAAATGTAGATAAAAAAAATCATTACAACCAACATTGTCTAATTTTTCACCATTACCTGATTACCAACAATGCTATGCTTATTCAAGTATTGCGTTTAACAGATTGATTAGACTATGCCCCTGTTATGTGGTTAGAGGCACTAGAGTTAATAATCTAAAGGTGATTGGGAGAGGAACAATAATAGGATAAGTCACTACATAAACCAATGGCTGAAATGTAGAGGAGATGGCCAAGGATAGCAGTTTCACATTTTCTCTTTTGTAAGAGCACCTGAATTCTCACCCTTTGTTGCAATGGAAGTGGAAGACATTGTAGCGTTGTTTGACCCTTCTACAGTAGTCTAGTAGTCCTTATACTGATTCTTCTTTGAACCAGAATTGTTCCCCTTAGGTGGTTGAGTGGGACATTCACGTTATTCAACTATTATATTTTCCTTCTGCCTATAGTAAATGCAAAGTATTGAATTCATGATAAGTCCTTTGGCTTGGACTTGTTAGCTAAAAGAACTACCTCAACTCCAGAATCAAATTTCAAACCGATGGCTGACTGAGTAATCAATCTTGTCTCCTCCCTAAGGTTCTCGCCTAAGATTGAAGTAAGTGTAGGTGTTGTACCCCTTCTGAGAATATTGGACCTTATTAACTCATATTCAAGCCTTAGATGCAATAAGAAATTCATAATCTTCTTCCTGTCAAAATGCTCTTTCACAACTTTGATACAATAGGTAGGTGTCGATTCATCCATGTATACTAACTCATACTCTTTCCATAAATTCACAAAACCAGCATAATTCTCCTATATCTTCTTTTCTCCTAGACTATTTGAAAATATCCTAATCTCAATTTGATATTGATGAAATAAATTAAATTGCCAGTATACCTTCTCCATATGGTCAAACATCTTATCGGCAATCCTATAGACTCATAAGAATAATAATGTTTATCTCAATTGAGCTAAGAAGCCATTGGACAACCTTAGTATTGTCAATTTTCCATTATTTAATGGAGATACCAAATTGATTCTTAATTTCAGCATAAAAGGAGAGAAAGATATCAAACACTTCGGTGCAAGATTTCGTTAAAAAGATCTAAGTCATCCTTGAAAAATCATCAACAAAGGAAATAAAATATTTAAAACCATTGTAAGACTCAATTGGACAAGGACTCCAATCATCTGAATGAACAAGTTCAAAAAGACTCAAAACTCTAGCAGATTCCCTTGGAACAAAAGAGACACGATGATGTTTACTAAGTTGACAAACTTCACACAGTAACTTATGAACAAACACGACATCTGGAACAAGACTCTTGAGAGCTGGAAGAGAGGGATGACCCATCTGACAGTGCCACTGCCACTGTGTAATGGAAGAATGAAGAGCTGTGTGTGATCCACCACCATCTAAGATAATACAATCCTCCAGCTTTATGCCTGCCACCAATTGTCTTCCTTGAGAATTGAGATCCTGAAAAATACAATAAAATGGAAAGAATGAGATGGAGCAATTCAAAGATTTTTGTCAACTTACTGACATAAGATTAAAGGGAAATTTAGGAACATATAGAACCGATGGCAAAGAGAAATCAGAATGTAATGTAACATCACTGGTACCAGAAACAAGAGGTAGTGCCATCAGCCAGGGTAACCGATTGGGTGGTAGAGGGAGGGGATAACGATGCAAATAAGTCTGAGGACCCAATCATGTGATCTAAGGCCCCAGAATCAATAATCCATGGTTTAGAAGAGGAAACAAGATATGTTGTACCTGACTTTGCAAGAGTTGCAGTATTACCGGATGAAGAAGAGGAAGACAGATGAAGTTTTTCATACTCTTCACGAATGATAGAAACCATTTCCTTCTCCTTCCTAGTGCCTAAAACAGTAGGGTCATTGCCTGTAGTACTACCATCTCCTTCTACAGCAACATGCTTAGCCCAAGTGGATGGTGGACCATGCAGATCATAACAGAAGTTCATAGTATGCCCTTCCCATCCACAATAACTACATTCTTTGATCATACCTCGACCACCAATACTGACACCACGACCTCTAAAATTCCCAAAATTCCCATCTCTACCTCTACTGCGACCTCCTCTCACACCACAGTTACCACCTTAGGGATAATTGTTTATACCACGTGAGCCACCTCTACCACCTCTGGTTGCAGCTAGGGCAGACTTCACTGATGCAGTCAGGAAACTCGATCAACCAGGCTCTGATATGATGCTATCAGGCCTCTATTTAGTTAAATAAATAAAGGGAAAACCTTCTGGTATGATTCTAGAATGAGGAGTGATGGAGAAGAAGAGAAGGGGGAGACAAAGAGAATAGGGCAAAAACAGTCTCTATCAAATAAGAGAGAGCTGCCGCCCTTGTATGCTTAATTCATAACGAAAAGGAGAATTACAATGTTACCCTTGTATACTGAAACTTAAGAACATAGACAAAAAACAGAGTTAAAAGAAAGGGAAAAGACTAAAATAACCCTAGAACAAAAACTGTATTTTAACAAGATCAAAATATGATGGACATCCACTGTTCCCTAAAGCACTCAGCCCGAACACCAGCAAACACATTGAAGACCCTATCTTATCTCATGAGAGTCCATTTAATCTTGTCAATAATTATCTCCATGGGAGCACCTTTAGCTTAAAAAGTTCTACTGTTCCATTCCTTCCATATGACCCAGCAGATGGCAAATGGAACTGAGTTCCA